TCGTGGTGGGGTTGATGGTGATCGTGGTGGTGGTGGTGGTGATGAGTGATGACGACAGGGATGAAGCACTACGGAAGAAGAATTCACAGCCTCCTGAACCTCCTTCCTCCTCCAAGGGGATCCTCGGGGCTCCTGGGACTCAGAGCTGCAACTCCAACAGAACATGGGAATTAAGCGCAGCAGGGGGTGTCTACACGGGCTCCCCTAAGGACAGGGCCTTGGGCTCAGGAATGAAGACGCATAAGGGGAGGCTGGAGACACAAAGGGAATCTGTAGACCCACGAGGGAGACCCTGCAGACACGACGAGGCGGGTGAAGAGGATTCTGTGCATTTTGTCCTGTGACGTGAGACACCACAACAACCCCCACCACCCCCAGGCTGTGGTGGTCACTTGGTTTCTTTGTCTACAGAAGGTTCACAGTGGATGCAAGAGACATGTCAGCCTCTCCGGGAAAACAGCGATAAAAAGAGCCCTTTGCTGGGAGACTGCGGTGCTCTCAAACCCCTCCCTGAGCTGCCCTCCCAGCCGCCTCCCCCAGGACCTCACCTTCCTGGGATGTTTGCCCTGGGACACCCTGGAATCCTTCCCAGTCCCTGGCAAGCAAGCAAAAACAGGCCTCTCAAGGAAAGCAAATTAAACCATCCATCACTCAGACAGGGAATTAATTAGCAGTAATTGCACAATGAGAAACAGGGCGAGGGACAGAGAGACTGGAATGGAGCGGGGGCAGAGAGCCTGGGTGAGGGATGGAGAGAGGGCCCAGAGAGATGGTCACGGACAGGGAGGCATGGAGGTGGGTACTGCATCATGGGCGAGCCTGGGACGTGCCAGCCACAGGCCCAGGCTGGGGATGAAATCTGTGCCAGAATTACTGCCAGGGTCTGCTGTCCTGATGCACCACAACTCTTCCCTATCATCCAAGCAGAAAACACAAAGCACCCACAACCCAGTAGTCAACGGCTCAGAAAAGGAACGATCCAAAACCAACGAGAAGGCCAAGCTCTGTAAACATGCTAACACAGAGACGGGCGGCTGCTCGGAGGGACCGAGCAGAAACACAAGTCAAAAGGCCTTGAAAGCACCAAGCCCAATGCCTGGGGACGTGGCCAGGCTCAGTCTGTGTTAACTGCTTAGCAGAACTCCGAAGAAGACAGTGACGTTCGCTGGAGGAGAAATTCCATTCTGATTTCGTGCCCTAACGGGTGCAGCTTCAAATCGTCCCCAAGGGGAAGAGTCCAGCTTCAGGTTACAGCCGACAATGTTCTTGTCTGCTGGACTATGAGGGGACACCCAGGAGCTGCAGCTCTGTCCGGATGAGCACCTTTTTTTGCAAAGAATTCTAGAAAACCTTGCTCGAATCCCTGAGGTCTGAAGTAGGGGAAGATCCTGGCATGGGACTGGGGTCAAGAAGTGTACGTAAGCATTCAGAATAACCGCTCACTGCAATTACACGACATGACACAACTCAGGACGTGAGATACAAACCGCTAATAGATCTTACGCGTGTGGGCTTAAGTCAGTGAAAAATAAGAAAGTAGGAAATAAAAGAGCAGCTTTAAAAATCTCAAAAGCTAATTTTACTCCACAGAAGAGAAGAGGAAGCAGTGTGGTTTTTAAAGCTCTTGTTGTTAGATGCTATTGGGCCAATTCTGACAACAGAATGAAACCTGCAAGGGTCCTGGCCCACCTCACAGTGCGGCCACGTCTGAGGCCACTGGTGCTGTCACCAGGCTCGTCCATCTCTTAGAGGGTCTTTCTTGCTTTCAAGAACCCTTTATCAACCTTGATGTCTTTCTTTCTCCAGGGGCTGACCCTGTTAGTAATACAACCCGAGGAACACACAGCTAAGCATGCCAAGGACTTATTTTTTCTACCTTTGTAAGAATTCACATAGTTTTTGTTTTATACACTCATTCATATCCATTGTCTTTTATATCATTCATTACCATTAATCAATGCCCATTTTTCATTCACGTACATTGAATTTCATGCACTCACCCACTCGCACTGTGTTTTATAGAACTAATTATTCATTTCCCCCTCCCTTCTCCCGCCCTGTTTGCCCTGTCCCCTCGACATTCACACAGGTCCAGGGAGCCGGGAGAGTCCATGAGCACTGCAACGTGCCAGGACAGTGAGGGTCAGCCTGGAAGAGCTGACCAAGGAACAAGATGAACACTGCAATTAGAGAGCGGGGACAGGACATGGATAATGACAGATTCTTTTGAAGCCACTAACAAAACTAAAAACTGGAGTGTCGGCTTTCCTAACGCTTCTCAAAGCGGCAAATAAACAGAGCAGATCCATCACCGTAAAACCACAGCAGACCAGGATGTCGCTGGCAGGTGCCTGGAGGGGTGAACTCTACGGTGTGCTGTGCACTGCTCCAGAATAGTTAGAAAACCAGGATTACAGCGAGGTCCGTTCAGATACAGCAGTCACGTCCTGCGGGTTGCCCTATCATTCAGCCCCATTTTCAGTCCTAGTCCATCTAAGTCAGGAAACCCCACTGGAACCACTCAGCATCGTACCCACACACAGCATCGCTCAGATGTCCAGGGGTGGCTATGCATGAAGAGCACTGGCCGGGAATGGAACCTGGGTCTCCCACGTGGAAGGGGAGCATCCTACCTCTGAGCTGCTACTGCCCTCATAGTAACGACAGCAATAAAGAAAAGTGGGCTAGAGTCCCCACGTAAAGGCAGAGCCCCGGATTTGATTAAACAAGACC